CCGAGCCCTCTTTAGGGCTTCAGCCTTCTACCTTGGCCCGGAAAACCCTAAACCCTAAACCCTAAACCCTAAACTCTAAACCCTACTTGGACAGCCTGGTGATGTTAATAATTGGCTATTACCGAAAGTAGATGATTCTCAAGAGAAGAGCCGCCACCGGTCAAAGTGTGCATTTCTGGGTTTTAAAGGGTTTTAGAGGATTCGGGACAAAGTTGAATTCAAGTAGAATCACTGATGAGTCGTGGGGTGTGTGGTGGTGCTATGGCTCGACATGTGACCTTCAACCCCCCGAAACACATCCAAAATTGTGTTACATCCCGTTTCAAACACATGGACTACTGCAAAGCACAAATCAGAATGCAACATCACACCTCGGAAGCACTGAAACATGACCTTGAAAGCTTTCAAACTCAGCCCTGTTTCGCCTGGCCATGCTCTTCGAGTTCTGCTCAATCAAGGACCGGCTGGGTGGTCTTCACGGGATTCTTTACAGGGCTTATATAGGGTTGAACTATGTAACGTACTATGACCCCTCATTCCCAGCATGCCTTTAGCTTGAGCAAGTAGCGATCTATCGTCTTCTCGTGGAGGCTACGAGACGATACAAACCTTGAAGCTGTACTTATCCTTCCGATAAAATCTTCGTCCACTTGAGTCGCGTAGGATAGTGGGGAGAGCGATTTGGCCCCCCTGGCCCTATCCCACTTCAGGGAAAATATCAACTCTCCAAGCATGTGAAACTTGGTTTGCACCTTCCAGCGGCATAGATCATTGTCGTATGCAGTTTGGGCCAGAGACATGAACGAGGCCACAAACTTGTCCCCAGACGAAATGATGTCGTCGCGCTGCCGCGTTGACAGCCACAAACCAGCATTGTAAAGCAGGTGCATGAACTTGTTGCCATAAGATAGCAGCCCCACGATTTCAGTAAAATACTCGAGAGTGGGGCCAAACAGTTCATGAAGGGTGTGTGTCAGCTTCCACTCCATATACTTGGTAAGCGAGCGGGTGTCATTGCCTTTGAACCATGACCTTACACTTACGAAACCTATTTTAATGAACGAAAGTAACCAAATATACGGAATTAGTCATGATGTTTCTCTACGTTCTATACAAACGAATGTTAAGATGATCATGATGCTCAGCCGAGAAACCCTGTCGGGTAGTCGGTGGTTCGCGTCAACCCCAGTTGGTTGGTTGTCAATTGCGACATATGCAGCTCAAGCCGGTTCTGCTGGCAGAAATGCTTTGCATCATCATAGACGAAGGCCATCAGCATTTTCAGGTTTGTGCAGCCAAACAGCCCATAATCAAAGCAGGACACCTGGAATCCCAGATTGAATGGATCAACAGCAGAAACAGCAACCTTATAGCAACGATCGACGATACAGGCTTATCCAAACGTGCACCCGGTAAAGAAAATGCAGACTAGAAACGATTGCGTTTGCAGCGACGTCTGCAAGGACGCCTTTGTGCATAAGGTGGAACAGATCAATGCGGAAGAAGTAGGGCGCCTGTGACATGCTGTGCGGCACATATCTGATAAGCGCTGGCGGAGGGGACCACGGAGCCGGGGCATCAATTCTCATAGCGGCCATGTTTCGGAAGGACAGGTTGTGCCAGTCCGCGTTTCCGGGCATTCCTGCCTTGCAGTAATGGCAGATCCCGGCACCAGCATCAGATGTCCACGTGACACGAAGATGGTGTCTGCGAAGGTTCCCCAATTTCGTTAATGCTGGCCAATCGCCCTTCATTGCAAGGCAAGCAAGATAGACCTGCGAGGCCTGACCGTTGACAACAACATCGATGGGCTGCTCGAAGCAATCGCGTAGATCCTTTGCAAGCCTTTCCCCCAATGCCAGCAGCCGTTTTTTCGTGGATGGCTTGCTGTACAGTTGCGTAGACATGACCGAAAACAAACATCGAGTGGAGACGCTTGGCCCCAAATAATTCAGGCTGGAAGTGGGCTGTCGTTGGGTGCCCTGGCCCAAAACACCTTGCCATGAAAGAACCATCAAACCTTTCTTTTTTTGGCTTGTCCCCTCATCCGCGTGTATCCAGACGGGTACTACTTGGTGCAGGCGCTCGGAGTGTACATCAAAAACTGGATGGTCAGGTTGCACTGTGCGCCACTTCTCCCAAAAGCAAGCGTAGTCCTCTGGGTCATGGCCCTGAAACAAAGTTTCCATTTGACCCTCGTCAGACAGCCCTTGCACGAAGTCGCGAATCCCCAAGAAAGGATGCTGCTTTGACATATGACAATCCATGTACGATACCTTCAGCTTCGCCGAGAGGTTGTGTTTCTTGAGAGATTGTCCGAGGCGGGTCTCATGCCCTGTAGAAGCAAGACGAGCAGCCTCCTTGAGAAAGCTTGCGCTCTGCGTTGTCTCAACACCAGGTAAATCCTGCATCTCCCCCCAGAATGCAGCAGCCATGTTGCAAGCTTGACTCTCGCTGACCTTGGCTTCCGGAGCATGACAACAGCACAAACCATGAAAATCAGATGCCAACGAAGCTCGTAGAAAGATAGCTTGCGCAGAACTTTTCGGGGAGAGCTGAATGATGTTTTATGCTTCGACAGAAGTAGCATTGCAACTGAATCCCATCACAGCTCGCAAGAGCAAAAGCCCTGCATACGAGCTATATAATTCAAATGCTTTATAAAGCTGTGGGACTCCAGCTGCAACCGCTTTGGCAATCGCCTTTGCTGCAGGACCAGGCTCCGAGGATGGACGATTCTGCGACAATGGAGGAGCATCAGCCACACCTGCGAAGGGGAAGGTTCAGCTTGGGGATAGTGTTTCAGGGTCGTAAACGGTTTTGACCTGTGCTGGGCAAATTCTGGGGAGATGGAGGTTTCGGAATTGGTGGGCTTCTTATAGGCCTCCCAATAAGTAGCTCCCATGTAGCTACGCAACATAGTGTTTTCCAGCCAGTCCCCCAAGGTGCTCCATGGAACAGCATCCCTTTTGTCAGCACATGCTTCCCGAGTGCACGTGCACACCTGGTCAGTTGGTAGGCCCAACTCGACACACTAAGAAGCCTGCTGCTGCCGAGCAGAAGGAGTGCACATAAAGTCTTGTCGGGTTGAAAACACAACCATGGGATTCGGAGCCTCTTACAGTAGCAGCAGTCTCTATGTTCACAAAAGCCGTGGCTCACACGATGCACTGAAGGATCTTCGCCCGGAAAGCGTGCATCATGAAGGCCTGGACGTGGTCCTGATGACGTCAAGGTTTAAGCGTTTGGTTGGGGCTTGTAGCGTGGAGGGTTTGTTTTAGGCTTTCTCACGAAGCTTGGTTTCATATAGTCTCCTGTCGGATCACTTTTTCTTCGTAGTCTTGCCCTTGCCCTTTGATCCCTTCTGGCTCGGGCCCTTCTGGCTCGGGCCCTTTCCTCCAGCCTTAGCACCCGCCTTTGGAGGGTGCACAGCTTCCTGCAGCAAGCCAAGAGATTGCAGGAGCCGAAGACATTGAAAACACACAAAGCTGTTTGCCCGGAAGGCCCCACACCTGGCCGTTGCTTTTCGTCCGAAACAATGTCCTGGACGAGGCTGGGTTGTTGTGTCGGCTTAAATCAGACTACACATACGGCTGCAACATCAGTGCGAGCCTTTTGATCTTCGTATCCTCCATGGTTGCACGGCTGCACCTTACGGGCGATTGCAGGTCTTGGCTGGGATTGTGTAAATAGTCGTTTATGATATAGGGCCCCCGCGCTGTTTCCACCTTTTGCACCAGCTTCTGCAGCTCTGCAGTTTTCCTTATTCGATGGTTTGGTTCGAGGGTTTCAACAGGATCGGGCAGAATCTAGGGTTTAGGGTTATAAGCCCTATAAACCTTATATAAACCCTATATAAACCCTAAACCTTATAAACCCTCAACCCTATAAACCCAATATAACCAAAGCCTACACCCTAAAGCGGGCAGTGCACTCGTCCAATTCGACAAGACACTCAGGGCTCATGGCACCATGTCCATCAAAGTGAGATTTCAAATCGGCCATCTTATCATGGAGGTCCATGATGTCTTTGACATGCTTCCGGACCGCCTCATCATTCCTTACATATAGCTGGCTAATGTATTTTTCAAACATCGGGATACAAAGAGTACAATCCTTATACTACCGGCATGACATCGCATGTGTCTATGGGCCTAGGGACTTCTGGGCTTCGTCGGTGCCCAGGGCTTGGAGCTTTACGGAAAGATCCTCCAGCCGCCCCTGTGTGCGCAGGATATTGGCCATCACCGTGCGGACGTTCTCGACGGCCTGGGAACCCAGAAGCAGAGGTGGCTTCTACCAAAAGAAATATATGCCCTAAACCCTTATAAACCTTAAACCGTATAAACCCTATATATAATATTATGTACAAGACTCCTTCTAGGAATTTTTGAAACCGATTGCATCATACAAGTTCTGGTTGTGCATGACCATGTAGCTTGGTAACGTGTCAAATATCTGATTGTAAAGAGGACTGCGTGGACTACTATACCTGTATATATAGGGGCTTATCTGGGTGTTAGGGTTTAGTTTTCGTGGGGACTTCGGTGTATCGCGTAGGTTGAAATTGCATGGGGCACCCACTATAGCAAACCAGCAAACCTGCCTCAAGAGCTTTCTCCTCCTCCAGCTCCTGCTTGGCATTTCCTGAGCCTTTGCCCCGACCCGCTTTACGAGCCCTTCCAGCCCCACTGTCCGCTTCATCATCGGACTCATCATCGCTCCCTGAGCTTGCACCACCATCACCATCATGAATGGGCTCTCCGGGATTGATGCCTCCAATGGTGACATCCTCAGGCACGCCCTCCGCTGAAAGGGTTTCGTGCAGGGCTTCAGAAGTGGTCTTCTCGAAGGTGCCCGTGGTTGCTGTGTCTACCCAGTACTCCTTCAGCTTCCGTTGGTATTTGTCACGCTTAGGTAGGGGATCAATCGGCAAAGACGGGGTTTATCCAACCATCAGTAAATCTCAAACAAACTATAAACACTCACTCAGGATCGAACCGAATCAGCTCTTTCGGCTTCTGCAAGCAGTACTGAACGACATCCTTGATTCTGTCCCTCAGTAGACATGAAACACAAAGTTTGCAAGGAAAGATGGCCCGAGTGCAATGACGAAGCTAAGTTTAAGCCAATGTGCTGGGACCAGCCCAGAACCTTCTTCATGGCATCCTTGGTGTACCACCCGCTGTCGACCTTCAGCTTCGTGGCGCGGGACTTGGTGCGGATGTACTCGATTCGCTTGATGAAGGCATCCTTGTGGGCATACTACACTTAAGGCTAGTGCTAGGGGGTTCAGGCCAAGAGATCATACAACATGTGTTGCCATCCTTGTTGGCACCTGCAGCAATAAACTGCTGAAGCAGCAGTTTGCGCTCCAGCCCGCCCTTTCTCCACTGTTGGTAGACTTCAGGGGCCACCTCCAACTTACCCGAACTCCTCTTCGGAGTACAAACTCGCCGAAGGCCAGCATCCAAGGATGCCGCACGTTTTTCCTCCTCCGTACGGACCTGACAGAAATGATCGACTCAAATGCTTTAGCCTTCTAAAGTGATCATGATGCAGTCCTTCTTGGGTTTGCTATAGCCAGCCTCCTCATCTTGTGCAGCCTCAGCCTCCTCCAATGCAATGAGTGTGTACAAAACGACAAATGACGACTGTTTCGATCTGCCTTGGGGTCTTGCTTCGGTTCTGTTGTGGCCTTCCCAGGCTCATGGAGGAGTGGAACCACCGACGAGGTCTCCCGTTGCCACTGGCAAGAAGATGTTGCGGGGGAACATCGGGATGTATGTAGTAGTAGTAGTAGTAGTAGTGGTAGTAGTAGTAGTAGTAGTAGTAGTAGTAGTATCAGCAGCAGTAGTAGCAGCAGCAATACTTCGCTGACACATCAGACTGCATAAACTCTGGCCTCTGGCAGA